AAGGATCAGGGCATGAGCATGTTCACTGCAGGCTGAGACATGCAGAGCAAGGGGAGCCCCTGCCCAAACCCCCTGGGGCAGAACAGAGTTGCATCCAGCCAGGCTGCCCGAGAGTTTGGTCTCAGTCGTGAAAGCAATGTCGTCCTCCTCCCCCAGCTTACCCACTCCCTGCTACTCCGGTCCTCTCCCTTGTCTAAACTACCAACCCACAAAACCACATTAGCTGCACCGGAGAGTGAAAAGGAAGTCCTCAGGTCCTAGGGGGTCATGTTCAGCACAGCCACACCCCCGCCAGGGTGACAGCTCCGGGCGTTTCCCAAAAGCCTGAAACAAGAAAAGGGCAGAGAAAGTCTCCTTTCAAGCGTCCGTTTACAATCTGGCCTGCCATAAAGTACATTTAACCTCAGCTGGGCTGTTCCTGGAGCCCGGGGATCTTTGCACCACTTCTTTCATGATCATCTTTAGGGGCTCTGCCTAACTGCATTGGCCTGAGGTTTAATGGCCTGAGGAAATCCTCACCAGGAATCCCTCTTCAGCTCCTGCTGAGCTCTGACCGCTCTAATGCGGTGCCATATGAACGGCCTTTCTGATTCTGGAGTGCGATTTAGTGGGCCAGCATGAAGCCTTAATCAAGGCTATATTTTAAGTTACTATCTGTGTACTCCCATATACAGGTCACATTTATAGTCATTTCCAGTTGCTCTCAAAGAGCAGCTGCTTTATGCCGGGCCAGGTCCAGGGACCTGGTTGCCAGAGAAGACAGAAAGCAAAGGAGCACAGAGAGCAAATGCTTTTGGTACATGGGCGGGGGAGGCATATGGATATGGCAAAGGACACTATGCAAGGGAAAGCCACGTGGCCACAGTGCCTGGGCTGCATCTGCTCAGGAGATAAATGACTTCAGGACTGCCTCATCATCTCTTATAACCCTTGTTAATCAAGATCCCTGTGTGCTGCGGGACTGTTCCAGAATCAGCCATCTGCCCTTGCTCCTTCGCTGCTTTGTTTGGCATAATGCTATTAGAGCCACGCTATCTTCCCCCCGCATGCAATTTGTTAAGTGTTAGATTGGAGGAGGTTTCTGGAGTGACGCAGATCAATAAACGAGCTCTGACAGCCAGCGCATCTCAACGAATGCAAGGAAAGTCAGCCAAGCAGCAAAGGCCGACTGAAGGCACCCATACAACATCGACTTACCTCCACCTGTTGACGTCTGGGTCAAATGCTTCTACGGTGATCACGTGCACAACGCCACCAAAGCCCCCGACAGCCAGTAAGTATCCGTTGGCGACAGCAGCTTTCACCTAAATACAAATCCCTAGGACTGAGAACCAAGGGTAAAGACATGGGTGAGGGGAGGCCTACAACCACACGGGTCTCGGGGATGGAAGGGCTATAAGAAACCTGTACGCTGCATGCAAACAAATGGGAAGGGAGGGGAAGAAAACCCAAGAAGTCGGCTGTTTCTAGCCTTGCAGACACTGGTGTCTTATGTTAGCGTGTACCAGGGCTGTGCCCAGGAACAGCAGATGTCTTGTGTTCTGATACTCCAACATCTCCACCGGCAAAGAGGAAGAAAAAAAAAAAAGCGCCACAAACTGGGATGGACAGCTTAAAAAGGAGTAAGAGAGACCAACCCAGCCTGCTGAGTGGTGCCCCTCATATAGGGGGACTGTTCTTCCCACCCCAAGCCTCACCTTTCAGACCTTCCCCCTCCCTTTTGGGATCTAATCCCTGTACTGAGCTTAGCAAGCACGGCAAGGTGACACTTTTAAACACAATTAACATGCCACTACCAGGGAGAGGCAAGACTCTAACAATGAGCTTGCTTCCAGAAATACAGAACCGCTCATCTCTGCAACAATACGTCCAGCAAGGTTTTACTGTACACATCTTCAGTGAGGGAAGAGAAAATGCACAGGAAGAAGTGGTCCTCTGAGAAAAGCCCTCCGATGAGCTAATAAATCCAAAAGAAACCGAGAAAGAAGGCAAAGTATTTCTGGCTTCCTGTGTGGGGTGCTGATCCTGCCCGACTAACCTGGTCTCTTTCAGTGACCAGGTAACAAAGAGCTTAGATGGGAAGGAGGAAGTCGATGTCGTCTTCTTGGACTTCCAGAAGGCTTCGACACAGCATCCCCCACCCAATTCTGGTGGGCAGGCTGAGGGACTGCGGCAGTGATGAGTGCATGGTCACATGGGTGGCAAACTGGCTCCAGGGGC